AGCCTACTAGGGGTGGGGCCCTGCTAGACCTGCTGTTCACAGAGAAGGGCTGGTGGGAGATGTGGTAGTTGGAGGCTGTTTGGGGCAGAGTGACCATGAAATTACAGAGTTTTTGATACTCAGGGGTGCAAGAAGGGCCATCAATAAAACTTCTACCCTTGACTTCTGAAGAGCAGACTTTGGCCTGCTCAAAAGTCTGGTTCAAAGTGTACCCTGGGAATCAACCCTTGGAAACAAAGGGCTCCAGAGGGGGATGGACATGCTTCAAGAAGGAAGTATTGTTGTCTAGTGGGACTGATGCTTCCTGTCTCATAACAGTTTTGTTAATGAAGCTGGAATATGTTAAAAATTAGTATAATAAATGTTAACACTTGCAAGAATACAAGTTGCAGTGCTCAAATAATTAATTGTCATGCTGTTGATAAGATAATGAAAAATTGTATTTTGTAAATTTTTCTTTTAGTGAAAGTCATTGATAAATCTGTTTTTTCTACATTTTTTTAAAAATTATTGCTGGCTAAATTCATTCTTACGTTCAGATATAGTTATTTGAAGTTACTGATTGAGAATTGATTCAGAGAGTACATGATGGGGTTTTTTTGAAAGTCAGCAAATCAAGTAACAGCTCATTGTCTTGTTGATAGTATCTACCTTGCCTATACAGCATCTCTGTTACAGAAGCAGATGATCCAGTCTAACACTTGCTTTCAGACTAAAATGTGTGTTGAGTATAGAAGGCAATTCTGTTCACTTGTCTGCAGTATCTACAAATACTATATACCAGTTGTCATGCATTTCTTAAGCCAATGGCTCAATTTTTGCAAGGTACTTCTAAGCTTCAGGTCTCAATTTAACTTTTCATGTTTAACGTAGTGGATGAGAAAAACATCTTGAATAAAAGGGAGGGAGGGGAGCTCTGGAGGAGCTGACAAACAGGTATTTCATCCTTTGACTTCAGAGGAATGTCTTTCAAAGAGCTTACAGTGATCATTTTTGTAGTTGTGCTTTCAGTGGTCATCAGGAATAAGTGTACATTTCTTGATCCCTATTCTTTTTTGTGTTAGCTGTTATGAGACACAGCTGGTGTGAGGCCTTAAGAGTCTACCAATTGTAAAAAGTGAGATTGCTGTGGTATAGCACTGTACATATGAGTTAAAAGAATAACTCCTTAATAAACTCTACTTTTATGTGAGGAAAATAGAAATTAAGAACTTCTTAAATTTCAGTTCTAGACCACAATTATGTTACCTTAAAATTATGTCACACTAATTATATTTCTGTCAGGTAGAGCAGGAGCTGGTAGACCTTTTTACATTATATCTCTCAGGGATGTAAAAATCTTTCATCTTCCTTTTAAAATAAGTTTATGCACTTCAGTTTTACAGAGTAGTTGTTAATTTCTGTGAATATGTATGTATTTTGTGGTTAGTGCTAATTGCACAGGGTTATGGGTAGTGAAAGAGTAAAAACCAAAAAAGGGTTTGTTTGATTTAGGGAAAGGACAGAATTACTTGCACTTTCTGTACCTGGTTTTGCTGCCACTCTTGTTTCTAGTAATTTGCTGCCTACCCACACTCCTGTTTGCACACTCTGAGAAATGAGTAGATGGATACTTAGGTGGCTTCTGTCATATGTTATTTTCAATTTGTCTTAATTTGGTCTGCTTTGCTAAGAGATTCAGGAGGGAGTTAAGTGGTCACTGTTTCCATTGTGAACTAGCAACTTCCTCCTTGTCCTTCAACATGATGTACTTGCATGGCAATGTCTAGAGTTTCAATTGTATTTTGAATATAAGGTATATATAATCTGATGCTTTATTTGGCCTTATGCTGTTTATGTATTGAAATGCTAAACTTGAGTTCTCTCCCTTACAAAACAGATACAATTGAAAAGGAGATAAGAAAAATCTTCAATATTCCGGGTGAAAAAGAGACCAGATTGTGGAACAAATATATGAGTAATACTTTTGAACCTTTGAATAAACCAGACAGTACCATACAGGATGCTGGTTTATACCAAGGACAGGTAGAGTGAAATATTATTTCTTATTTTTAATATACTTTTCTTTTTGCTCACGAAAATGTAGCTGTACCCAATGATTTTTCTAATTTTTAAAAGAAAATTGCCTCCTAATAGATCGTGTTAACTCTCCTGGTGAATTAAAAGTAAAATTTTAAATTTGCTTAAAATATTTAAATTTTGCTAAATTTTACTAAATTGCTGACATGACTTTAGTAAAAACTGAAATAAAAAATTATTCCTAGGATCTGGGATATGTTCCTATAATGAAACCCAAAACTTGAAGCACCTCCTAGATACCCTAAAAGAATAATATCTTCTACTCAAGTTCCTCTGTCTAGATTTCAGAAATAAAATAGGAAAGAAATGAAAATATTTTATATAAGAACAGTAGAGACAAAAGAGCTTGTAAACCTGCTTTAACATGAGACTTTATCATCACTTTAAAATCTTTTCATGGGGTAATTTCTCAAAAGATGACAACTTTTTTGCCTTTCCATCTGTACATAAAGAACAAATTGAATGTTGAAGATACACAAATATAAATATGAACAGATCGAACAATTTCATAATTAGAATAACTTTTCAGATTATTACATTGATTCTTTAGTCTTCAGATAGAGTTGAATGTTTTTTCAACAGCTGTAGTTCATGCTGTCATGCTACAAATGTCAGTGGATAAAATTTGATGGCAGTAATTGTAGGCAAGATTGAAGTACTTTCTTTTGCCTTGCAATACTTGACTCTAACCTACTTACCAGCAGTGTTTTATGCTGTGCTTCAGTTTTCTTTTATGGCATGGAAGGTAAGTAATCAGTGCACCAAAATAACTGCTTGAACTATTGTACCCTTTAGCTTCATCCTGCATGCACTTAAACGCTCACATAGGTAATTCTAACAATGCAGAGGTCCTGCAGAAGAGCCCACATCTCCCATAAAAGATTTGCGTCAAAGATGTAACCTGCAAATTGCCTCTGTCCCAGTGAAACATTAACTATGAGGCAAGGATCGGCTGATAAAGCCATAACAGGGCGGCTGGGTGACATCTGTACTTTGAGCAAAACAAGTATTTTTCAAAACAGAGTTTAACCATGTGGTCTGAAAATGCTGAATATCATGGTAGGCCATATGTGTTTGGTCAGTTGCACTTGCTGACTCACACATCACTGTTATTTTTCCCCCTGCTGAGCTTTCTAATCTAATAATAGTTATTCTGGCTATTACAGTCTGTCTAAGCTAATGGTTATTTTTTGCTGTGTATGTGATTGAGTAAATTAACGTTTGGTTTCTGAAGTGAGTCTTTAGGGGTTCTGTTGAATTTTTAAGTCCAGATTTACCTTATATTTAGGAGTCTCTGAGAGCCAGTGCAAGGAAGTATGGCAGAATCTGTCTTAAAACATTAATGACCACAGATACCAGACTGCCTTTTTCCAGATTCAAAGCTGGTCATGATAAAAAGCTTGTTGGCAATGTCATGGTCTAGTGTATTCAAACTGGAAGTGGGATCACATCTTCAAGTGGCAGCATAAGATTTTGAGCATTAGTATGTATGTGAATGTCTGTCACTGTGTAGATACATACAGGCATAGCATGGCACTTAATTAGTGTCCCAAAACATACATTTATATGTACAGTTATGCAGAATTAGTTGCACTGGAAATCGGGTGTTGGATTCAGTTGAAATATTGGAGTCTAGTTGCTGCTCCAAAGGATCTAACTATCCCAGCTGTCAACCCAGAAAGGCATGAGCTGTTTGTAGGTCCTGTGTCATATCTGCCAGTGTAGAGCAGATACCTCAAATACCCAGAGGGGTTTCAAAATGACACTTGATGCCTCTATTTGGGACTGAGTGTTCTGTCCTCTGTTGGAACACTTTGAATGAAATTAATTTCATTAGCCAACTGTCCCATTGAATAAATAATATTAGATTAATGCTTTTTCAAAATATACAGGAGTAAGCAAAAGTTGCACAAATTAAGATGTGAGGAGAAAAAAACGTGAGGAGGGGAAGGTACAGTGTAATTGGATGGAATATTCTTCAATCTCATTGGATAGGAACTTAAATATCAGTTTTCTCTGTCCCAATCATGTTAGCAAATCCATTAAAAAGATGGAACCAGAAAGTAGTATACTGATATGTTTATTTCAGTTTTATTACACTTTCTGTGATAGGTCCTGGTGATAGAACAGAAGAATGAGGATGGAACATGGCCAAGAGGTCCTTCAACTCCGAAGTAAGTTATGAATTCCAGTCATGTAACTGTTTTCACATGTTATTTTGCTTTATTTAAAAAAAATAAGCTGGTTCTAAAAGTGGTATTTTATTTTGTAATTCAACCTTCAGATGTTTTAGTTGAAAATATGCCAAATATATTTGTTGTAAGTGCTATGCACTGTACAACATGGCATAATAATGGTGAATTCCTGCATATACATTGCTTAATTTTGTTGATTTCAATATGTGATATACATTGCCCTGCTTAAAAATAGAAAAAAATATCCATAATAGAATACTGTAAGACTTGGCTTATTTTCTTTAGATTTCTGTTTCAAAGCAGAGTGTATCAGTTAGGTGAACACAGATGTATGCATTTTATCAGTACTTTCTTTATATGTAAATGTTTTCATGGACAGCTTGTTCCTTTTTTCTCCAGAGCACAGGATTTATACATAAAGATTATTTGAATTGCAGCCTACATTACCATCATGTTGCTTTTGTTCTTTGTTGGACTGTCATCAACTAACACAGTATGATGTTGTTTTTCTCTTCTTCCTACTGCCATTACCAACAGCACCTTGATAATGGCAAGTGATTAAAAAGACTTGTGTGTTTTTTCTCATTAGGTGGATAAACTTTTTTAAATATTGTTTCTAGAGTCTAAATCATGTTCTGTTGGTTTTGAAGAATAGTTGGAACCAGTAACTAGTAAATTAACATGATCTCAGCCTTACAAATAGTTAACTGTGTTTTTCCCTTTGTTGGCTTGTTCTTGATCATATCTTTCATTAAAAGTTCTTTTAAGTTCTCTTCATTCCTTTTGAGATTATGCATTCATGTAGTTGAGTGTCACTGTTTCAAAACACTTTTTTTATAGTATCATGGCTTACCATTTGAAGGATAGATTCTTTGGTGTTATATTTTGAGCACTTTTATTGGCAACACTACCTTCTATTATTTACTGAAGTTTGAGTTAAATTTAAGCTTAGTATGTACAGTGTAATCTTGCCTAGCAAGGTGTTATAACACAAGGGAGGATCTCACAGCCGAGCGGGGCAGGACCCGCTCCTTGCAGGGGATTTAAACCGGCCCGGGGAGCGCTGGGACAGGAGCGTTAGTGAGGGCAGTGAGCACAGGAAGGGCACAGACACCCCCTGCTTCTTGTTTGCTTTGTCTTTGCTTTGGGTTTTTTCCCCACAACACAGCTAGACTCAGCGATGGTTTCAAAGCGAGTGAAAACTGTTGCTGCTGCTCTCAGGAGGAATGTTGTAAGCCAGACAGGACCCTCCGTGCAGGACAGAGCTGTGCAGGTCACTGAGCACAGAGCCTCGGCCTGGTGTTAGTGTCAGGGCACAGTGAGAGTCACACCTGTGTGGTGTGAGCAGGGGAATGGTTTGCTCTGCCTAGTGGCAGAGCTCAAAGAAGAAGTAGAGAGGTTAAGAAGCATTAGGGACAGTGAAAGGGAAATAGACTGTCAGAGTCACACCCTTCCCATCCCAAAAGAAATTCAGCAAGAGACTGAAGCCCATAAGCTGGCAGGGCTGATCAGGAGGGCTTTAAACTAGGTTAGAAGGGGAAAGAGAGGCAAAAGAATCCCCTCCCAACCCACATCACCTCCCCAGTTGCCCTTACAGAACAGGTATGAGGCTCTGAACCCAGAGAATCAGGCAGAGCACAGTCTCCAGCTTGCACCTCATCTACTAGATGGATTAGAATTGCAACTGCAAAGAAAAAAAGAAGGGTAGTTGTGTAAGGTGACTCCCTAATGCAGGGAACTGAGGGCCCTATATGCCAACCAGACCCATCCCACAGGGAAGTGCTGCCTGCCCAGGGCTTGGGTAAGGGATATCACCATGAGACTTCCTTCAGCCTCTGATTACTACCCACTGCTAGCATTCCAGGCTGGCAGTGATGATATCAATGAAAGAGGCATCAGGTAATTAAAAAGGACTTCAAGACACTGGGCAGACTAGTTAATGGGACAGGAGCACAGGTGGTGTTTGCCTCAGTTCCTGCAGTAGCAGGGATGGATGAGGATAGCAGGAGGAAAACCCACCTTATCAACAGATGGCTAAAGGATTGATGCTAGTGGCAGAATTTCAGGGCTTTTTTGACCATGGGACATATTCTGTGTTATCAAGCCTGCTAGAGTCAGATGGGCTTCATCTCTCTAGCAGGGGCAAAAGAACTCTAGCCCATAAGTTGGCAGGGCTAGAGTTGGCATGTTCTTCACATGGTAATTCATAGAATGGTTTGCATTGGAAGGAACCTTAAAAGATCATCTAATTCCACACCTTCCACTAGACCAGGCTGCTCAGAGCCCCATCCAACCTGGCTTCAAACACTTCCAGGGATGGGACATCCACAATTTCTCTGGCAAACCTGTTCCAGTGCCTCACTACCCTCAGAGCAAAGAATTTTTTCCTAATATCTAATCTAAACCTCCCCTCATTCAGTTTAAAGCATTCCTCCTAGTCTTATGACTACATGTCCTTGTAAAAAGTCTCTTTCAGGCTCCCTTGCAGACCCCTTTAGGTACTGGAAGGCTTCTCTTCTCGAGGCTGAACAGGCTCAGCTCTCAGCCTGTCTTGTCTTTGTGATCCTGATCTGGACTCGCTCCAGCAGGTCCATGTCCCTGTGTTAGGAGCCCCAGAGATGGATGTAGTGCTCCAGATGGTGCATCCTGAGAGCAGAGTGGAGCAGGGGGAGTATCACCTGCTTCGACCTGCTGGCCATGCTGCTTGTGATGCAGCCCAGGACACAGTTCACTTTCTGTGCTGTAAGTGCACATTGCTGAGTCATGCTGAGCTTCTTATCAGCCAGCACCCACAAGTCCTTCTCCTCAGGACTGCTCTCAGTCCATTCTCCACCCAGCCTGTTCTTGTAAGATGTAATGAAAGAAAATACATCGTAAGATAGTCGCAAGTACTGTATTTAGTTGTTACATTCAGTGGGTCTTTGTGATGAAAATGATCAGTATTCTTGTATTTTGACATAGTCTTAAACCATGGGGATGAGTGATAATGCTGCTCCTTTTGGTGGAAACAGTTTTGAAAGGTTATTCAGTGTTGAGCTTAATATCTTGAAAATTTTCTAATGCTATTACTGAGACAACTTTAATTAAGTGGTTTCATGCTGGTGTTAAACTAACCTTGAACTATGTATTTTAATCGTTTTAGTATCTCATCTCTACATCCATATTGGTTGAAATGAAAAATTAATAAAATTTCCATGTTAGAAGCTTTACAATTTGGGTTTTAGAATATCAGAGTATCTACAGTGCATACTATAAACTGAAAACAATTTTTTTTTTAGCACAGTGGCCTGTGATTCCTTTTAGTTTTTAAATTTAATGTACTGTGAAGCATTTCAAGTCTTAAAAGATGGATTTTGAGGGCTGCATGTCCTGGGTATTTTTAGTGCTTTACCCACTTTTTTAAAAATACTTATTTTCCATGTTTGTTTATATGCATTGTTCATTTGTATATATTTCATAGTTTTTAATATCTCAGCATTTTTGTCTAATTTATCATTTTCATATTTTTAAAGGTCCCCAGGTGCATCCAATTTTTCAACTTTACCAAAGATCTCTCCATCTCTATCAAGTAATTATAACAACATGAACAACAGAAAGTAAGCAATATACCTTAAGACATTATTTAATTTAATCACCCCAGTGTGGCATAAGCAAGGCTCAATGTTTTATAACTCATAGCTTAAGGATTTTGATTTGTTTTGCAACATTTGTCTTGTAAAATGTTACTGGTTGCTGTCTCGTAGTGTAGGTATTGTAAAGCTGATACCAGGAAATGAAACAACATTAAAGGTGTTTGTAACTCTCAGTCCTCAGTAGGGTAGACACCAAAAAGAATGCTGAGTGTTGTAAGAAAGTGTATAAAGACTTCATTTAGAGTTTATCCTTCTAGAAATACATTGTTGTTGTTATTACCTTGCCTGAGTTTAAATAGACAACAAAAAAAAGTATAAACTACTTATAGTGGTCACGTTTTTCCCTATTTATTGCTCCTGAGGTATTAGAGCAGCATCTGTGACATCACACATGGATTTGAAATCATTACAGGTGAATTATTTTAGCTGTAGTGTAGCCACAACATAACTTGTGTAGTGCTAGAAGAGTTGAGAGATCAGTCTTAAGTGTGCTTGGATATTTCAGTGAGCAAAGGCTTAGTTAAGAGGCTTCTCACTTTCACAAATTTTCTGCTTTATATTCCAAATGAGAATTTTAATAAAGAATGTGATAAAACTCTTAAGAGAAGAACTTTCATATTCCAGTGGCCAACTTTGTGTGTAATCTTTTTGTGTTGTACACAACAGTAAAAAAAGGTTGGTGAATGTAGAAAAACATGAAATTATTTCACTTTAACAGATAATGGAGCATCTTTCAAATGCTTGAAACCAGAGAGCACTCAACTTTAGTGCAAGCTGGGGGAAATTGAAGAGCCCTATTCTTACAGTTCATTCAAATTTAAAATATTTTGCCAAACAAGCATTTTGTGATCAAACATGAAGATGTTAAAAAGGTGACCTAAGTATTAAATATCTTATACAATATCTTCCAGTTAAATACTGCATTTATCAAAAGTGATTTTTCCTAAGGGCTGAAGTGTCATTTGTGCTTCTGCCAGTTGTGAGTAGCCCCAGCTCTCACTGTTGAACATTTGAAATCCATGTATTTAACTGCAGTCTATTGTAATCTGTGTGTGAATGTGTAGTAAATAAAAAGAAAATTGCATCTGTGGTTGTCTGAAGTTACTTGATTAGAGGAGAGCCTCCAGCTGAGAATGAGTATCTCCATTCCCCTGTGCTGAAGCAAAAGGCAGTTGTAATGCCAAAATGAAAACTTAACAGTTGCATTTTCCTAGGGAGCCACCATTTTAAATTAAGCCATCAAAGCATTCTTTTTTTTTTCCTTATTTTTCTTTTTTCAATGTTAGCTTGAGGTGCTGTAGGTATTTTTAGGAAGCACTTAAAAACCTGTTGCCAGCTCTTGCAGCTTTTAAAGATAGTTTCTTCACTTTTTCTGGCTGATTTTATTTCTTGGTTTATTTTGGACCCGAAATCTGAGCCTTTAGAACTTAAGGAAAAATTCTGGAGGTTTTTTATTTGTTTGGGTTTGGTTTGGTTTTGGTTTATTGTATGATTTTCAACTGAAATGTGTTTAAAAGGAAGTGATATAAAATTCAGATTTGAAAGGAATTTGAAGTGCTTTAACTATAACTTAAACAGTTGCAGATCAGTTACTAGGTATATACTCTGTAGTTTGTGAAATACCAGACATTCTTCTCTTGTATCTCCAAACAGAGTACATCTGGATATCATGTAAAACAGATATTCAGTGCAAAAGTATATGGTTTTTCTTACAATGCAATAATCCAATTATGATGAGTTTAAAAGATGTTTTTAAATCACAAATTAATAATTCAATACAAGATATAATGCACAAGAATCTTAAACAGCACTTCTGTCAGAATACATGTTCAGTGATGAAATCATATCCATTAATACACTTTGTACTTTAAAGTACATCCTGTTGCATTAAGAATTTTTGGCTTCATAAGATAAATGGAAAGATAGATCTCTCTATTTTATTGTATTATATCTTTCAGGGTTAAGACCATTTTTTTCTATGTTCTACTATTCTTGTAAATATCTCTTGGTCTAAGAAATCTGTTCTTCTTTGTTAATTAATGCTATCTTCGTTACTTTCTCAATTAACTACTTATTGTCAGCTTTGCCTGGGAATTATTTTCATGTTTCGACCTCATTGTGTCTTATATTGCACATTGTCTTTAATGCAGTGGTAAAATTACTCATTCATGGCTTTCCAGGGTCTGATTGACACCTCCCTATGAACATGTGATGCTGTGACACTAAGAGAAATACCAGCATTCATCTTAAAAAAAATTTAGCTGACATAGCTGATTTGTAAGGTAGAAAATGCAAACAACAGCTTGTGTATAGTAATGGTCATAAATACTAGTTGTTGCAAGCCTGTTTTTGCAATTATTGTAGCTCAGCTAAACAGTACAAATTATGTTAAAACTCTGAAAGTATAAGGTTTCTTTATATGGTACACATTTCTGTAATACTTGTCTGATCCAGGAATTTTCTGTGTAAGAGTAAGCCTCAAATTGGTAGATATTTGTATGTTGAGCTAGCGATGCGTTAGATAATGGAAATAGCTTGAGCAGATTTTATGGGGTCCAAAACCTTCACTTCTGTAAATGTGAGTTTGCATTTGATGGAATGGAGGATTCAGAAATAATTGAGCATTGATATTCTTCTCCCTTTACAGGAGATCTTATTGAAAGAATAACAGGCTGATTAGCACAGAATGTGTTAGTGGATTCAGAAGAGCAGGGAGAGACACACATCATTTAGGTCTTACTGGAATTGCTATTTATTGCTGTTAATAAAGCAATGCATTCCATCTCACATATAGTCTTTTTTTTTTAATTTTGTGGGATGGGGATTAAAAACAATTGAACAGGGATTTTGCTTGGGGAATTGGGGAAAATTGTTCTGTTTCCTTAATTTGTAACCATTGTTTCAGGCTCCCAAAATGATTTGCTTTCCTCATTTAGTAGTGTCAGCCTGTCAGAAGATGGACAGCTGGCAGCTTTGTTCATGTGCTTGGGATATTTCAGCGTGCTTATTTCACCAAGTGCAAATGTTAATTACATCACTTGTAGAAACAGTTTCTTCATGTTATGTCTGACAAATAAGCAAATATTATGAGGAAGGAGGATTTGGATTTTTATTTAAATAGATTTTTATTTATATAGATTATAATGTTATCTTTTGTTCTCCAGACGATGATACTGAACAATAACAAAGACTTTTGTGTAGTGTAGTGGCATGGGCCTCTCCTGCTGCTTCAGGTATCTCTAAAATTTGATGGAACCTGATAAGGGCTTTCTTAAAGTGTCTGGTCACAAAAACACACTGGCAGTGCATTAAAGTGGTTGAAATATATGGAGTGACATAAGTCTTCCAAACTTTTAATTTTCTGGACTCGTTCTTGCAACTCAAATTCCTTTTGCAACACCTGTTGATATATGGCACTCCACTGTCAAATTGTGTCCTTTCCAAAAGCTAGTGATACTTTTCCAGTGTTCTTTGTTCAAAGTCCATACTTCCCAGAACTCCAGCTACACAATGAGTGCTCTGGTTCATCATTTCTTGAAAGCTGCTTTGATGTTTAAAGGCAGGATACAGACTGTACATATAAATCATTTCAGATATGCACATACAATTCAAAATGTATAGATCTGCAGGTAGTAAAATCTCATTTGGAGACCTCCTTTTGTCATTTTTACCATTTCAAGAACTCTGTCTAGCTGTTCAAGGGTCTGAAGATGGTTTCATATTTTCAAGTCTTGCCTTATTTTTGAGCAGCAATTTCTTCTAAGAGCCATCAGTGTTTTCCTTGGGATGTTGCCTTTACTTGACTGGCCTATTCTAATACTGCTCCTCTGCTTTTCCATACATTGTTCCTTCATCAGAGTTAGGAAAGTTTTGCAGGAAAAGCAGATAGAGGCTGGGGACACACTATTATCACAAGCTATTCTTCTAGGGTATTTCTGTTTGAATTAAGTTTATGTAGACTTACCTTGCATCTTTACTTGCTTTCTGTATTTAGCCATTTACTACTGACTGTTGATAATAGTTTATTTTTCATCCAGTCTCAAAAGCATAAAAAGAAGAGCCACAATGTAATTTAAATAAAAACAATTCTTCCAGCACAAATTAAGTTTGCAGACTGATAGAGCTGTAAAGAGAGATCTTCTAGTCTCCTGCACATAGTAGGCACTGTGTTTTGTAGGGTATGTTTTGATAAAATGTCCACACCATGAAAAAATATATGAATAGACCTGACTCACAAGATGAGTGGTAACCTTATTCTCTAAACCCCTCAAACATACTTCTGTGAGCCAGCATAGAAGATGGAAGAGCTCAGAAATGTCTTTGCCTTTTGAGAAGTAAACTGACAGTTTGTCCATTAGAGCAAACCAACACTGAACTATTTGTGTTGCAATTATTTGGAACTAAGTTACCATCATGTTACTCAGCTAATTTAAGAAAATCTTTCACATGAATACACTGTAACCAAAAATGCCAATTGCGCTGCCTAGTGTCTCTTCAAAGGTGGCAATTTGTGAAGGGGGAAAGTTGCAGAGAAGGAAAAAGAATGGGAATGAAAATCTTCAGGAAAATTAAATTCGGTCTGCTTATTGCTCTCACATCTCCTAAATTTCTTAAAGACATTTCTCTTTTGTTAACCATGTGAAAAGTGTAATCTTTGAGTCAGGTAAGGAAAGCAGTAGGAAGGAAACAGGGCTGAAAGGAGAAGCTTGTTGTGTACCCTCTGCACCTGCATTTCTATTGCTGCTGTGCACTGTTGAGCTGGGCTGGGAGTTGGTTATATTGTGGAGGTTACACTGGTTTTACTTCCTGGAGGAACTAAGGCCTGCCAGCCTAAGGGTATTGGAGTAGATTGCAGTAACTGGCCTGCAGCTGCAAAGGGAGATAGAAGGTAATATTCCCTGGGAATCTCTTGTGCATGGATGAACCAGGGACTAGTGATAGGGGAGGGTTGACTACAGAATAGAGCTTGAAGTGTATGTGGGCCCTGGAATTCAAAAATTATCTTGTGTTAAAATAGGGTTAGGTATTTAAATTAGGATTAAGCCAAATGGGCAAAACTAACTTTACTGTTTTTTTTCATGGAGAATGACCAGTAAACACAATGCCACTTAGGTAGTTTGAGGGCAAGCCAAAGAGCAGAGAAAATGCATGTGTATGGAAAAGGGAAGGACTAATAGGAAAGTCAGCTATTACAGAGATAAAAGCAGATGTAAAAGTTTGAGAACAGCTTTATGGACAGTGGAGCTATAAACTATACAGATTTCTAAGGCCGTTGAAAGAAGGAGAAATTTTCAATAACTGTGATTAAAATGAATCAACAGTTATTTGTGAAAAGTGAGTCATTGTGCACTGAGGGGACAGTTGGATTTCAGTTGGATGTAAAGAGCATGATACTGGTCAGGAGTAATGGCTGGAGTATAACCATTGGGTGCTTTCATCCTCAGACTGTTACAATTATCAATCTCAATTATCTGTCAGGATTGGTGATTTGCACTGCATATTTTTCCGTATCATTCCTAGCAACTGTCTTTGAAATTTTTTTTCATGTTGTTTCTAGTGTGAATGATGCTTAATGGCTGCAGAAATACTCCTGAACTTTAGCCAAAGCTGATGTCATGCAGATTATGATCAGTGCCTGAAATAGTTAAACGTTTCTGGCTGGTTGTTTCTTTCTAACATCAGTAGTATTACAGAGCATCCGAGAAGATTCCTTTGCCTTTCTAGTGTTCTCAGATATGCTTATTTTATGGCTTTGAGGGTTATTCTGTATTTAATATTTTCATATTTCATCTGGAAACAAACTGTTTTAAATATTACCATTTTACCTATTGCAGTGTTATCCAGTTTCTTCAAACAGATGCATCATAGAGATTTATAATGAAGTTGTTACAGGCCATTTTGCGCATTCTTTTGCCTCTCAAGGCTTTTCTGCATTTGCATGCTGGATTGTGCTGGCCTATCAGGGGAGCTATAAATAGATTGTCTCATGCAGTGAGGCAGCTATGCCACAGTGGCCTTGGAAATCTCAACTTTCACCTGTAAGTGCATTCCCATTCCCATCGACCTCACTCTTGCAGTAGCAGGATACAAAAGGAATGTAAATGGTTGATTGCTGCTGGTGGTGTCTAAAGTCTGAGTGTATTAAATATGATGGAGCTATGGAGAAGAGAGTAAGCTGTGAGGCTGCTCCTATCAAAAAGGGGTAGGGATGTAATAATTGCAGTTACTGCAGTACATTTGATTTTGGTTGTTTGCACAGTTGGCTTTTAAATTGAAGTTAATGTTATTACCAAAGTTAAATAAGTCTTTTAAATCCTTTCTTGTTTGCAGAAGTTAATTTAACATTTTAAATCATTTAAGTTTATAAAGTACTTTTATGTTTTTAAGTAATATAGAGTACATGTTTACATTGTGAGAGATATCTTGTTTTCTTACAGTGTGAAAAATTCAAACTGTAGTCTCCCATCATATACTGCTTATAAGGATTATGATTATTCAGAGCCTGGAAGACACAATGAGCAGCCAGGCCTGTGTGGCCTGAGTAACTTGGGGAATACATGTTTCATGAATTCAGCAATTCAGGTACGTACTTGAAAATAAATTCAGCTAGTCTTACTACTTTGAAGCTAATATCTTGTTATATTTTGTCATGTTTGAAAAGTAATATTAAGAGATCTGTTAAAGTAGCAGGATAGGATTAAAAGTGAGGAAATAATACATCTATATTGGTATACTAGAAAAGTTGATTTGTATAGTTGCATTCATTGTTTTTGCACTGTGAGCAATGTGAGAAAGAGGTTTGACCAGTATTTTACATGAGTGCACCCTTAAGTGGGATTCTTTGCTTTTTGTAGTGATTGCCCTGCATGCATGTCACAAAAAATGCCTTTTCCTTTTGAGACATGCTTGAGTACTGATTGTTGTGTCCAAAAAAAAAGGTGTCAGAAAGTAGATGACTGGTTGATTGCTAGGCCTTTATTTCTGGGTAATTATGTACTTTTAGTGCATGCAGGAGCATTTGAAAATAATTTCCTCTGAACTTTCCCCTCTGAATGGCTGCCATTTCATGGGTGAGATGTTTTACAGGAATGTGATAGCTTGTTTCTTTACTATAATTACAAGAGAAATACTTGTATACCTACTATTACTCTGCCAAGATGAAAAAACTTCAGTCTTTTAATTTTATATGGAAACTGCAGTGATAGAATAAATAATTATCAGAAAAAAAACCTAATAGTTTCATTTGGTTTTGTTTAGTTCTGGAACTTGTGTTTTGTCATTGGAGCAGTCTTATGTCAACAAATTCTAACATTTATTGAGGTTCTCATTCACGTATTTTCCTGC